TTTTTTTTTTTATTTTAAGTAAGCTCTATGCCCAACGTGGGGCTTGAACTCATGATCCCGAGACCAACATTCACATGCTCTACGAACTGAGCCAGCCAGGTGCCCCGATCACTGCTTAACTCTTGTTTTCTTAATTTTAATTTTCATGCTCTTATGTCTTATCTCCCTCATGTGACTGGATATTTTTGAGGGGCAAGCAAGTAGTCTAGACTCTGTGCCTCCCTCCCCACCATGAGGTGCAACACAGGACCACAGTACTCAGTGTAAAATTTACTTGAGTGTTTGCTATTATTCTTGAATTATTTTTTTCAGAGCATGTCTATTAAAACATAGGTTCTTTAAAGGCAGGGACTCAATCTTCTGGGTTTCTTTTTTGTATCTGTCACTGCAACACATTTTAAACCAAAGAAACTAGAGATGACTAAAAAATAAGTGGCTGACTGTTGAAAATAATCTATGTAAACATGAAAGAATTCTGCATGGGCAAGAACAAAGGTAAAGCTGTTATTAGAATACATATGAATTTATATAGGAAACCATCATGTCTAGTGATAAATATCAGTGTGGCACTCACATGTATTGGATCAATAAAATAAAAGTGTCAGTAGTAACCCTGCATAATGGGCTCAGGCAAAGGCAGGCAATGTTTTTATATTAATCCCGTGAAAAAAGACGCTAGAAATTTTCTTTTTTCTTTTCTTTTCTTTTCTTTTTGGTGCTAGCAATTTCTACACTTCATTCTTTTGTCTTCCACGATTTTTCTTTTTTAACATGTTTATTTATTTATTTTGAGAGAGACAGAGAGTGTGAGCAGGGGAGGGGCAGAGAGAGAGAGAGGGGGAGAAAGAGAATCCCAAGCAGGTGCCATGCTGTCAGCACAGAGCCAGATGAGGAGCTCGAACTCATGAACTGTGAGATCATGACCTGAGCTGAAACCCAGAGTCGGATGCCTAAAGGACTGAGCCCCCAGGCGCCTCCACAACTGTTCTTCTACAACAGTAGTAGGTTTAATAGACTTTAGTCTGGAGCCAGGCCTTAAAATGCATACCTAGAAAAATGCTTCTAAGGAAAGCTTTTTGGATGGTCCATCAGATATGAAGTGAAAACACCAATTTTGAGGATCATTTTTTTCTATGTTACATAGGGTTATATCTCAATATCCTTACCAGTGAGGGGGGAGATAATGATGAATTCTGAGATAGAAGATGTTTTCAAAGAAATGTTTTACTACCTTGAGCTCCATATGGTGGTTCAAACTGGTTCAAAAACACATCTTAATTAATTTAAAGAGAAATGCAGATAATACACAGCCAGCTACCATTTATTCGCTGCTTACTCTGTGTGTAAGCACCTCATATATATTATCTCATTTAATTCTCACAGCAAACTAATCATCCTCATGCTAATGAAGGAGAAACTGAGGTCTGGGATTAGAATCCTGGTCTTCAGATTTCAGAACTCATACTCTTTTTCTGGTTTGTTTCAAGTTATTTAAATTCTAGTTAGTTAATATATAGTGTAATATTGGTTTCAGGAGTAGAATTTAGTGATTCATCACTTACATTTAACACCCATAGCCCATCACAAGTGCCCTCCTTAATGCCCATCACCCATATAGCCCTCCTCCCAACCCTGCCCTGGCAACCCTCAGTTTGTTTTCTATTGTTAGAGTCTCTTATGGTTTGCTTTCCTTTTTCTTCTTCTTTCCCCAATATTCATCTGTTTTGTTTCTTTAAATTCCACGTAGGCGTGAAATCATGTGGTATTTGTTTTTCTCTGACTGAATCGTTTTGCTTAGCATAATACACTCTGGTTCCATCCATGTCATTGCAAATGGCAAGATTTCATTCTTTTTGAGGGCTGAGTAATATCTATTTATATATATATCACATCTTCTTTATCCATTTGTCAGTCGATGGACTTTTGGCTCTTATGGCCAAAGACCATAAGAACTTATGGACCAAAGACCATAAGAGCCATATGGACTTATGGCTCTTTCCATAATTTGGCTATGGCTGATAATGTTTGTAGAACTCACACTCTTAACCACCATAATGTCCTAACTCTATAGACGTGTACAGGTTCCTGCTATACACTACTTTTAGGTACAACAATCAACCCCTCTCAGGTTCCCTCCAGTGTATATCTGAGTGCACGTTCCGCGCCAAGCACTACTCTTGGTGCTGGGGATGAAGCCGTGAGCAACAGACAAAGCAGGCACAACTCCTCACCCTTGTGGAGGATGTCCTGTAGCCCAGGGGAGCTTCAGAAAGTATGTATTTCTTGAAGCCAACAGTCTGCTGACCAAATCTACCTGAAATGCTCACTAGCATCTCAGACCACCCCAATTGTTAAGTTAAATCCATCATCTATCACACAAAAGCTGATTCTCCTCTAAGGCTGTAAGTGATGCTTCTTCCAAACTTTTTGCGGTCCCTGATCCTTACCAGTCTCATCATCTGTGCGGGCGATCTTGCCTTTTTCTTCACTGAGAAGATGGGCGCCAGCTGACACGAGCTCTATCGTCTGTGTCCTTTTTCTTCTCAACATATTGCTGTGCCTTCACCTATTCCTTTTATAAAAAATATTTTATTTTTTCTTAACTAGGCTCCACGCCCAACTTGGGGCTTGAACTCGTGACACCAAGTTCAAGAGTCGCATCCTCTATGGACTGAGCCAGCCAGGCACCCTGATTCACCTATTCCTTCTTTCACTCTCATCTCTTAGCAAACGAACTTTCTTTTTTTTTAATGTTTATGTATTTCTGAGAGAAACGGGGGAAGGGCAGAGAGAGAAGGGGACAGAAGATCCTAAGTGCAGGCTTGAACTCACAAACCATGAGATCATGACCTGAGCCAAAGTCGGACACTTAACCAACTGAGCCACCCAGGAGCCCCTGAACTTTCTAAGATTTAATCCACTTATTCCTTGAATCCCATATTCTTTTGTCTCTGCTTAAAACTTAGCTCCAGGGCGCCTGGGTGGGTCATCGGTCAAGCGTCTGACTCTTGATTTTGGCTCAGGTCACGATCAGGTTTGTGACATGGATCCCCAGGTCAGGCTCTGTGCTAACAGCACGGAACCTGCTTGACATTCTCTCTCTCCCTCCCTCTCTCTCTGCGCCTCCCCAGCTCATGCTTTCTCTCGCTCTCAAACAAACATTTAAAAAAAATCAGCTCCATTTATTCTTATACTAATTTTTCCTTCTTGACCTATCCCAATGGTTCTCAATGGGTGGCTCCCTGGACCAGCAGCATCAGTCACCTGGGAACTTGTTAGAAATGCCAATTCTCAGGCCCCATCCCAGATATATGGAATAAGAAACTGTGGGTGGGATTTGGGTGGCCCTCCAGGTGATTTGAATGCTTGCTGTCATTTGAAAACCATGACTTGGTCTTATTCACTTAAAATCAGATTCAGGTAATTCTGTTTACTGACAGACAGAAATGAGA